TAATTAGTGTTCACCATTAGTCGCCACTGCTACATGCCTACCTAGAACTGATATACCTAGAGGCAGTCGTTCTTATTGGAGTGCGCGCGGCCACGCACCACCTGACACAAGAGCAGCTGGCGGCCGGCTGCTTGCGCCTGCGCACAACAAAACTTGTTTCCAAGCAGACGATTCAATATGGCGGACAATCACAGACTTTGCGACGACGCCGATGGTATAAAGCGATATATAACATAACTAACAAATTAGATAATGATGATTTAAATCGATAATGTTTGTGCCTTTCGTAAATGATGCAATTTATTGTTACGAAGACGTTAGCAAACGAGTATAAAACAATAGAATGATATATCCTTGGCCCTACAGTGTCTTATTTTCTGAGAAGTAAACGCGGGAGTGTTGGATCGCTTTGTTGTCGCAGCGCATTGTCAGGCGATCGTCCTTTGACTTGTCCGTGATCGTTTTTCCGCCGTTATTGCGAGCAGGCAACGCTCTGTCGCCGTAGTTGTTTACACGAGGAAGTACATAGCAATACGGAGTGAGTAGGTAACTACACATAAGTAGTTACATTGGCACGTAGGCAGCGACTCGTGCAACCCGTGGCGGCGGCGGCGTCGTCGTACGACCCTGATAAGTTGCTGCGCTTATGTTACTTCAACGGCTTCTTGCGACACGTTGTGGCCGCTTTCCTGGGTTTCGTTCGACGCCGTACACACACTACACGCCGTACACATTCTACATCGATAGTTAAATGCGTACATGCACAATATAACTTACAGTCCTATGTACCATAACTACGTGACTTCAGTGGATCCAATGGAACGGGAACTAATTGCATCATGGGTCCTTTATATCGGGTGTTTATTTCATCTCTCACTTACCTATCTATTTTCTCCACGATTGTTGATAATATGCCGTCTATCGCAATAAGTTTGTAAATGCTTTGCATATAATCGTAACTAGGCACTGAATACTGCAGAATGCTGTAATTCGGTTTCAGTAAACAATATCGGTAGCTACCTACTTATTTATCTGATTAGTCACACGAATATTCTTATATACCTACGTACTTAAAAAGGAAACTAAACAACAGTAGCTCCTTTACCATAGCAGCTTTTGATCTTTCTGACGCTGAAGCCTCGCGGTCCCTAGCCTTAAATAGTGCTTTGGCTTTACACTAAATGTAGAAGTTACGGTTATTTAGTAGTATGTATTTAATTTCTATTAGTGCCATCGCCATTGTACTGTACCGTATACATTCCACTTCTGGGCACTAGCCTCTCTAATGAAAGTATCGGATTTGCGAGTTATCGTCATAGGTAAAAGGAAATCGCTAATGCATCACAAATATGACTTTGTGATTGTGTTTCACACGAGGCGGTAGCGGCGAAGCCAGAGCGTATCGTCCGTGACACCTAACGAGCGAGCAGCAACTCTGCTATCTGGTGGTTTGATAAGCCATATTTATCAGCGAGTCTCGGTGCGGGAGGGCCGACACGATCACGACTGCGGTCGGTGGCTTGACGACACACGGGTTGTGTTGTTGCGCAGCGAACAGACTCGGGCGCGGCGCCGCACATGTTGCGGAACGTGCAGCGCGGGGAGCGCGGGGAGGCGCCAGAGACGGCGTCAGCACACCGGCACGCCCGCCTCCGCCATCAGTCGGCACGCACACAGCCGCAGTACAAGCCCCAGGAGCGTCACTGTGCCTTATCGCAGCCATCTTAAACAAGTGCACTGCACGCCAGCCACAACTCGGTACGAATTCCCATTCTGTTCGTAAACACTTTTGCTGCGACAGCGATTGTCGTCGCCCATTGCACTCTTTACGTTGTACGACTAGTGAGCGCACTGCATCGTTAACGGGCGATTTCTACAAGGTCATGTTAATTAACAGCCGATACGCTGTGTCGCACCGACATACTAGTTAGCTAGTCATGACCTGGACTACCAGTCGGTATGCGCTGATACTTACCACGCCGCCGCTGTGTTGTTTACATACCTGAGGCGGTTTAAACCACCATACGATGCACATACAATGGAAACCATGTTGTTGATTTGTGGATCAAATACACCTTCCTATATTCCCGTGCCATAAATCCTACACCACCCTAGCCTCATTAGGGTGTTCTTAGGGCGACCATCCGTATCGATCGGAGGGTGGTGTGGGGCATCCCGTCGTCGCGTACGTCTCCGCAGAGGCGGTTCTCGAAGCTTCCGTAAAATCCAGGCTAGAGGCTGTCGGGCGGGTGATAAAGGAAAACTGCCTACGTAGTCGGCCCCTGGCGGGTGTTCGTTCAACGTGGCGTGTTGTCGCAAAGCTATATATAGCGCATGTTGGTTGGAGCCGGTGCGACCGCGCCCGCCGCCGCCTCGCTGCTCCGTCGACGACGCCGACCGACGAAAGGTCAATTGGCGCGCAAATTATTTGCGTCGCAAAATCCGCAACGTCGCTGCAACACCGCTCACTTGTCTACACCGCAAGCAGTGTGTTTAATCAACTGGCGAATACTAAGTAGTTATAATGGGAATAGAGAAGTACCACCAAGAGCGAAAATCGTTTAAATATCCTGCGATGTCGTATTTTGTTGTTCTTAAGTAACCACAAGAGGTCACCGAATGCATTAACTCTTTGTGGGCTTTGGCATTCTTCATCTATGTACCTGCTAGCGTCGTCAGGTAGTATTTATTACAGAGGAATTATGAGGCATTTTTGTAGGGGTCTCATAGAGAAGTAATGTCATTACACACGAACACACACGTGAACGATGGCATCAGCTCAGCCGAACACTCGCGGCTGCAACGTTGCAACAGGGTTTTGAACGTTGACGGGAAGTGTCGATCGTGCCAGTCGAACAGAACGGGTTTGCATGCAAGAAGTAGTCGGCTGTGGAGGCCATACCGAGGTGAGCGCTTCACCAAGGTACCTACCTACTGTGGTTAGTCACGCTCGGAATGCCTACGCCAACTCCTACAAGAACGGACCAATTGACGCCACGCCAACGCGCCGCTCTTAACTGCATATGTATATATATATATATATACTATGGAACTTGTATGCGTGCACATTGTTTACGGCGAACATTACATTTACTTATATTTAACAAAACCATTTTAATGAACATCCAAGCGAAATCAATCTGCAAATATAGACACACATAAATCACGTTTCATGTTACTCTCCTTGTGCTTTTCAAGCACTATACGAAGGGAGAAAATCAATAACTATAGAAACTTAACTAATGCTTTCTATTTAATGTTACATATTATAGTATAAAATCTGTAGTAATTGCCTGTATTCATAACTCGAAATAATTTCATGAAGTAACATAGTCGTTTTGAAACAAATGTAAATCGTAACTTACATATCCCTTTTGGTTTTCATGTAAATGTAGAGTTTCTCCGTTCGCTGATTGTAGGGCGAAAAACGTTATATGGTTCTTTTGTTTGAGATTAAACCGCTTCGTAATTTGATGTGTTCTGTTGACAATGGAACAGACAATGCACCTGGATGACGACAAGGGTTTAATGCAGCAACACGTAATTATTCACTTCATGTTAACGAAATATGAAGCGTGGCTTGATTATACTAATAGGCTCATCTAAGTACTTAATTAAATGAGAACATAAGACGTATGCAAGACCATTCATATCAAAATATGTTAATTCAAAATGACGGTCCCTCACAAACACATTTTTTAATCTAAATATGTAAATAAACAATAACATATATGTATATACGTACATTGACCTACCAACAAATATACGTATTATTGTTTTCCTAAAGCCATCTACCGGAATACGAGTGATAATAGCGCTGTTAAATGAATAACTGTCTCCTTGGTTTCGTCGCAACCAGGTAAAAAGTATGAAAAACACGTACCCAATACATTGAACATGAAATAGGGTATGATCTCGCCACTGGTCGCCACAAACGAAAGCAAAAGTTTGCGCCCTCAATACAGCGCGTATGACTCGATATGGCCGATATGGTGTCTGGAACCGAACTTAGGGCCGAGAGTGAAAGGAATATGCTCAATAAATATTACAACGTCTCGTTCAGCGGTTCTTTTAAAGGAGTTCTATATTTATTTGTATTGATATGTGCTTAAAAAATAATAACACAAGAACATGATGCGATATGCAATTACGAATAAAATTTTGTATGGATAGCTAATACTTCGAAAGCACTTCATTATTCTGCTCACTGTTTGCCTGCTAACATCCGTATTCAATCCAACCAGATTCCGGAGAGGAATGGGTACAAATAGCAATGACAGAAACTGGCATAATACATTAATTCTATCTTTATAGAAATAGATCATAGTGTCAAAGTAAGTACAGAGATGGCGACAGTTTCATGGCATCCACCGCACAAGAGATACATTGCAAATAGTAAGGCTTATGTTGGTCGACGACCAGTACTATTTTTGAATTCATTGTGACAAATAATAAACAGGCGGGCGTCACCCGCATGGGCACGGGTGCGGCTGTGAGCCCAGCGTGCGTGCGAACATCGCGTGTATGGCTACAACCACTCTACAAAGTAGGTAGATGTCGACGACCATGGCATCGTCGACATCCCTGCATCCCCGGGTGCGCCGGCTGTGCCGCTCTATAAATACACAGCAGGTGTGGCGGGCAAGGGGGCGCGGGCGCGGTCGCGCGGCGAGGGGCATCCGCCTCTGCAGCGCTCCAAGCCACTCGCAGCGGCCAACGGACCTTAGCGACGCCATATCGATTGCGAGGGCTCCCCCTGCGGCGCGGCGCCTCCATTGTGCTCGACTGGGATGCCTTCTCCGGCCGTTTCCTGTCGAGTTGTCTGTCGACAGCCCCGCCGCCGTCCCGCGCGCCCCGCGGCAGGACACGTCCGCCGCTGTGGCTCGAACCCGCCAGCTGTCACTAACTACTTGAGTGCTTCCCGCCATGCTGCCATCTCGATGCGCGCGTTGGACGCCGCAGACACCACCATAGAAACACGCTTTTGTAAAATGTTATGCATAAAGGTGAGTATAGACTACAACATTTACTTGTAACAGAACAACGAGCCGCTCTATGATATGTTCTAGTGTATCATCCTCTTACGAACTAAACGTCGAGCACGCTCGCCTCTTTGTTACAAACCAACGAGCGTATTGGTGTAACATTTCGTCGAGCCACGAGTGCGGGCGAGGCGCGGTTGCGGGGTGACGCGGAGGGAGAGGGACGAAAGACGCACGCGGTCCGCGCGGTCGTTTAGTTGTTCAAGTTGACGCTGTGATTTTACACGTGCATTGCATTAGCTTGTTATTTATACTTATTATCTATTTTCTATTCAACTATGTCGTGGGATAGTGAAAAAACTTTATTGTTTATTGAAAAATACAGGAATCATGTAATTTTATGGGATCCTAATCACGCTCAACATTACAATAAAATATTAAAAAACGACGCGTGGCAAGATATTGCTGCCGAAATGGAGATCTCTGCTGATGACTGCAGAAAAAAAATGACAAGCCTTCTAGCTTCTCTTCGAAGAGAAAAAATGAAGATTGAAAAAAGTGTTGGCACTGGAAAAGGTTAGTGATGACAATAAATGCAAATATACATAACACAGCAGATATATTCAGTTTGGATAAAAATATTACGTAAATGAAAAAGACGAATTTATTTTAAATTGTTTTTTTTTATTTACATTTACAGGAGCAGATGAAATTTACAAAAGTTCGTGGTTTGCGTACCAAAGCTTACAATTTATGCTGGATAGGAATAAACCACGTCCCGTTGATGATTCGGTGAGTTATTTTTTTAAAAGGTATTTCTATATTAAAATTTGTAAGTATCTACGCATATTGGTTTTGCCACTCCAACGCACCTTCTTGAGAACAGTATTCAGCAATTTCATCTCTCATTATTTTTGCAAAAGCACTTTCTGATAAGTTTCGATGTTGATTTGCAAGCGGAAGAAATGATGCATGGCCCTCGTTATAATCACTGGTATTATTGTCTTGTGAGATGTTTTCTTGTAAGCATATTCCTTCTGAATTCCTTCTAATGAAATTGTGCAAATGACATGTGCACTTTACAATCAATTTAGCTTTATCGGGGTTCAATAATATAGGCTTTCGCAAAACACGGAATACTGACGATAGTAGTCCAAACACATTCTCAACTACGCGCCGAGCTCTACAGAGTCGGTAATTGAACAATCTTTTAGTAGATCCTTTGGGATGCATTCCAGAGTAAACCTTCATCATATTTTGCATAAGAGGGAAAGCTTCATCGCCAATGAAATAATATGGCATTAACATTTGCCTACCTGGCAGTGTAGAGGGCTGTGGCAAATTCAATGATTCATCTTGTAGTTTTTTATATAACATACTGTTATGGAATACTCCACCGTCTGATATTCGTCCTTGGCAACCTATATTAATGTAAATAATTTTATAATTTGCATCCACTACTGCCATAAGTACAATACTAAAAAACCCCTTATAATTATAAAATTCACTGCCACTTGCAGGTGGTGCTTGAATTACTATATGTTTACCGTCAATAGCGCCTATACAATGGGAGAATTGCCATATTTTCTCATAACCTTCTGCCACTTGTAACCACTCCTCAGGTGAATTTGGCATCTGCAAAAAAAATATATATTTTATAATTTCAGGCTGATAACAAGACCGAGGAAAATCACATGCAGGCTACTACGGCTGATTGCGAGTCGCAGTCAGCACATCCTATAAAAAAGAAAAGGAAAATGGTTTCCAAAATCAATACAGATGACGACAAAAAAATGGAAATTGCATTTGATATATTGCAAAAAACCGCTATGAAAAGTGATTTTAATAATGACGAGTTAGCAAGTTACGGTACTTTTATCGCCAATAAATTAAGAAAATATAATGAAGGGACCAAAAACTATGTGCAACATCTCATATCGAATATACTTTTTAGCGCTGATCAAGGAGAATTTAACTATCCCCGTGGATACAGTCAACACTATAGAGATAATTATAGGAACGAAACATCTCGAGGATATAATACAGCTTCAACATCAAATGAATCCTTTGTAAGTCAGAACCGATCCTGTGACTCAAATACAGACAGAATTTTCTCTATCGAAGAGACTATAGCAGCTGCAACTTCCAATGAAGTCCGAGGTCCGAGTCGAGCCGGTGAAGCAGATACAGACGGGGGCGATACTCAAGATAGCAGTAACTTTGATATGATGAGTCACATCTCAGATTATTTGAATGATTTGAATTGATCTTAAATAAAGTATAATGATACTCACGTGAATGTTTTCTTTCAGTTCCTCTGTTATTGCTTCACATACTTCTGGAATTATCTTCCCAATACTATGTCTTGATATTCTAAAAAGATACTGTAAACTAACGAAGGAATCACCTGTAGCTAAATAACGTAAAGTTAATGCTAATCTCTCCTTCGCCGTAATTGAAACTCTGAATCGTGTATTTTGCTTTGATATTTTAACACCAATTGAATTCAATAAACTTTCAAAATCACTTGAAGATAGGGCAGTAAAGTTCTTATATTGACCACTTAATTCCTGCGATTTTAAGTCTAACAATAATTGCACACCTCCAAGAGTTTGTCTTCTATTGTAAATGTTCATTTGCCACCATCTTCTATTTCTATTTTTCTTTTTTCTTCTAATATAATTCATCAAGATAAACGCAGCACATGCAGCTTGTAGGTCCGACATTTCAAAAAAGAATGAACGCAAGGTACAACGAAATGTTGGTAAATGCACACTCGCTGTGAGCATTTACCCGTAACATAACGCCGAGCATTCGCAGGAACGTTACATTACATGGAAATGCTTAGGAAACTGAGCTTTTGCCTGTATTGTACCATTCGTAAGAACGTTACATTACACAGAAATGCTCCAGAAAATGTTGTAGTCTATACCCACCTTAAGACATACAGATTATACAAAAACGAATTATAAATGTACATTTCGACAAATGAAAGTTACCAATATACATATAGTTACATTTCTATACGCTTGTATCTCTTCTTATTTCTATACTAGTTATTATAGTAGATTTCCTCATGGCGACATTTCCACATTAGTTAACTGACTAGCCTCTCTACTAACAAAAATACAACTCCTGATAATTGCCAGTCCGAAATTGAAATTCGTAAAAGTCTATTGCCAAATCGCTAGTGGATGTAGAAGCGGGTGCACTAAATCGGATTTTTACACCGTGAATGATCGGACGTTGCATCGAATAGTAACAGAGACACCCTTTAGCGCACGCAACCCTAGCACGCGTTATATTGCACCACTGCATCTGCCTACATTATGTATTTAAAATACCTTGAAATCAAGTTAAGTAACTTGCAATACTTTCTTTATTGTAATTTTTCACTTCAGTGGCATGTTTTTGTAAACTTCATAAAGTAACATTAAGTGAGCCTGCTTAATTTCGCAGTAAAAGATATCAACGGCGCACAGTAGGCCCGAACTGGTAATCTTAGGAACAATTTGCTATGTGATATATAATGCCATTCTTGAGAACTTTTATTCTGGAGTAATTTCTTGAAATAAATTGTTTACTGTTTCTTTTAGAAGGAGAAATATATATTTATTTTTAAATTAAAATATATTATTTTTGTGTAATTAAGACAGTGTTATAACATAATCCGAAGGTTATAGGTAGAAACTAGTATATTGTGTTAAAAAACTAAACAAATTTTGTCGCCTCTGTGAGCGTAAAGCTGCAAGTTGGTAGATAATGAGTGGAACTGTATTGTAACCAAGCTACACACGGAACAGTAGCAGTAGAGCTCCTTGTGAAAGAGTTCGTCCAGTGAAGTACTGCCACCTTACCTATTTCTACCGCCAAGCAGTAACGTCAGCGATACTGTGTTCCGGTTTTGAAGGGTAAGAGTGCTGGTGAAAATACAGGCACAGGGACTTGTCCACTTATGTCTCGGGGTGACGGGCGCAGTGGCAGTGCCCTTCAGATTTTAGCAATATAAAGCTCTGCGTGGTACTGTAACTGTTATGGACAGGCGTGTAGCTTACCACCAGGCGCATGACTTGTTTGTCACGTCACTTGATATTATAAAAAGAAAATTTTCCTTCATTACAAGCTACAAAATAAAATGTATATTTCTCCATACAATTTTTTTCCTCCTCACACTGAAAAAAGTTGATTAAATTGAAAACCTACATAAGAATGTAAGTTGTCGAGAGTGCTATTACTTATGACACTTATTTTAAAAATCTTTTTGATATTTCCCAAATTATTCGTCAGTTCACGAGTATGGCGTTTTACTATTGTGCGTATTATGATGCGCATTACTTACCACAGAGTACCTAAAACCCAAAATAAGTAGTTCCACGGAGACACCGCGTCCACCTTTTCGACTTTCTTAGGTCTCGCGAGATACCAAATAAATTAATCGAACAATTAATGAAATTCGAAAAAATCATTATAGGACACGTGTTGGGGAAACCATTTAGGCAGTTTTTATATCCCGGATATAAAAATTGCTCTTCTCGTTGCGATGTTATTGTGAAACATTTCAGAACCCGCTTCGCTAGCTATTTACCGTAGCATATCTGCTCTATATTCACAGAGAAAAACGATATTAAGAAACATAAAGAAAGTAACATAATTTGGGAGATTGGGAGAAAAAAGGTAATTATAGTAGTGTATGTAAATTTATGCCAAAAAAGTATGGAAAATGACACTACAGAGGAACGCTTAGGTCATTCAACGTACTTAACCCGGCACTGACAAAGTCTTATTCAACTTGTCTATGTTTACAATATTTGAATACTACGTGGAGCGCACTAAAGTTTCCGGAATGAATAAGAAACAATACTATAAATGGACAGAAATGAATTTATTGTTTCTCAAAATATTCTCCGTTAGCGTTAATGCACTTTTTCATAGGAATGAAACAATTTTGAAAACATTTATGCCACTTCTCCGTGACAATCTCTGAAACATATTTTTCATACACTTCGACAGCCTCTTCAGGTGATAAAAATCGTTGACCGCGTAACTGGTTCTTAATTTTTAGAAATAAATAAAACTCACAAGATGCCAGGTCCGGACTGTACACGGGATGGCTCATAGGGTCAACGTTATTCACCTTCAAAAATTCATTTGTCTTTCTGGCCGTGTGAGAACTGGCATTATCGTGGTGCAAGATGATACGGCGTTTACGGTTATTTTTACGGAGTTTGTCAATAACTTCCAGCAAACAAATGGTCGTGTACCAATCACTGTTCACGGTACAACAATTCTTCAAAGCAACAGAAGCCACGTGTCCAGTTTTATTAAAACAAGAAGCAATCACCCGCTTATAGGCATTGTGCACGTGCGCCACTTTGGTTGTTTCGGTTCATCTCGAAAGATCCATACGTTCGATTGCTGTTTTGTTTTGGGATCGTAACTATAAATCCATGTTTCGTCGCCTGTTACTATGTCCCACACCAAACTTGACGCCCCTTTGTTGAATCTGGTAAGCATGGCATTGCAAAAAGTGACGCGATCGGTTTTTTGAGCCTCAGTCAAATCGTAAAGAATCAACCAAGAGCACAGCTTTTCACACCCAAAATGTTTGTGTAGTATTGATTGTATTTGGCTCTTGCGTATGCCTAATGATGCCCGAATCTCATGATATGTCACATGTCTGTCTGTTTTGATCATACGGCACACAACATCGATGTTTTTGTTGTTCACAGCAGTGGACGGGGGACCATCACGAAATTCGTCACTGAGATTCACACGACCGCGTTTGAATTCTGCAAACCAGCTATAAATAGTCGTCTTGCATGGTGCTTCATCGCCAAAAGCAATTTGAAGCCGAGCGAAGCTGCGCTGAGCTGTTAAATTACATTTAAAATTGTAGAAAATCATACTACGAAAATTTTCACGAGTTAAATTCATGGTGACGTAGACAACCAATTTCTAAAATGACGCCACAATGTAAAAACAAGTGACAGTCAGATGAAACAAACTGTATTCTATAACCAAAGAGCTCCATTTTCTAATGTTGTAATTACTTTTTAAATATTATTCATGTAAGTGGCCAGTTCCGGAAACTTATAGTGCGCTCTATGTATCATCAATCTTTATATCAAAACGTGCTTATATAAATCCCTTTATTCGTGTTGTACATCTCGAGAAGAACATATAACGTAAAAACTGAAACCAAATCTCGTACTCTTTCGACGGAAAAGTAGTGAGATCTCACGTAGAACCAAGTCAAGAGAGTCAAGTATTACTAGCAGTAGAGCTCCGTGTGAAAGAGTCCGTCCAGGGAAATATTGCCACCGTACCTATTTCTGCCGCCAAGCAGTAAAGTAAGCATTACTGCCGTTAGGTTTTGAAGGGTAAGGGTGCTGGCGAAATTACAGGCACATGGGACTTGTCAACTTATGTCTCAAGGTGATGGGCGCAGTCGCAGTGTACGTCAGAACTGTGTGATTTAAAGCTCTGGGTGGCACTGCAACTGTTATGGACAGGCGTATCGTTTACCACTGACGTGCGACTTGCTCGTCCCGTCACTCGGTATTATAAAAAAAAATCTTATTACCCTTGATTCTACGTTCAGCAAATAACCCGATTAATATTTTGTGACTAGAAATCACGTAGCAAGAAGAATTCTTCTTGGTCAGTAATAACTTATACACGATTTTCTATCAAAGAACAGTACTTGTTTTAAATCACAAAATATTCTCTCGTGAGTTTCAGTTGATAATAACAAAAAAGTTTAAAATATGTGTAAGTATCCTAGAAGCATAGTGCATGCTCATGCGAAGTGAACGCTAAGTCGCAAAATATTGTTTACAAACATGCATAGATTCATAATACATTAATAATTTGTTGAACATAATAATATAAATAACGTACCAATGATAATTGATAAAAGACAAATTAAAAAAATAAATCGAAGGTGCTCAGTGATTGAAGTACTGAATGCCAAATTATAAGTTTCTAAGTACATACGTAAGGCACATATGACTCACAGGAGTTATATGTACCTTATCTACCTCTTAGGTAAAGGTTTTTGATGATCTGTGAGTGAGTGACGAAATAGCAAACATTTTTTGTTATATATTGTGTAAACTAAAGTAATATACTTACATATAATAGATTCTAAGTTGTTGTTTAGGGGTGTAGGAAAACAAAATTGTTTTAGGCTTTTAGTCAATGACAAAGTTATTGGGGACTGAAAAGTGCACTGTCATGCACCTAGATTATGCTACGGGTTACGGAATACAAAAGTAGAGATAAAACCGGCGTATTGCATTGCATCAGCGTGCACGCGAGTGGAGTTAGCCGCTCTAGTCGGCTGCGCTAACCGGCACGTTGCCGAGGAAGATGAAAAACACAGAAGCATCACGTCTGACGGTCGGACCCTCCGCTCCCTTCCCGCGCCCGTGCCGCAACCCACGCGCCCTCGAGGCCGGCAGCCGCCCGATGCGGTGCTGCCGCCGCGAGTCGGTCGCTCGCCTCGCCTGCTCTTTGAGCAGCGTACGGCCGACCTACCCGCCTCATTCAGCCGGCGACGCTCTCGCGTACCACACACGCGTCTGCCGGCACTCCGCGTGTGCCCTCTACCTGCCACCGCGTCGTATTACCGTCTCGCGAACTTTAACCGACACCGAGCATTATTTTGTTGCAGCGGAGTATGCTACAGCAGATGTCCTCGCCGCCGAGAGCACTACCTGGCGAGGTCGTGAATCTCGTGCGCCCCATTGAAGGCCGTCTGTGCGGCGCTATTGTGGAGGACTACCAACAACTTTTGCCGCACAGCAAGACAAGAAGAAATTACAATTGTTCTAAGTGCACGTACCACACGCGGAATTCGCGCGACTATCTGTTGCATGTGCGTGACGTCCACTTTGAAAAGTTCAAAATATTCTATTGCCCGCACTGTGATTACGCTTCTAGACACCACCAAAAGTTATTGCGACATATGAAAGTTCATAACGAACTAAATATGGAATTCACTTTAAAAATGAATTCGGAAGTACATTTAATTTCGGAAAACACAGAAAGCATTGAAGACTTTCTAGAGGAAGTGGAAGAATACGAAGATGAAGAAATGTATATTGAGGAATGCACTGAGGACTTTATCGGTGACGTGGACGAGTCTAGGACTGATGAACCCACTTCAGAATCCTCTAAAGATAAGAACAAATTCTTCTCATGCAACAAATGTAATTACGTTACTCATATACGTGGAAGATATACGAAACACGTTAAATATCATTCTATGCCTATGATAAAGTGCACCATGTGTGATTTTCGTACGCCTTATAAGTGGAACCTAGATCGTCACAATAAAAACCACGGTGGCACCGGTAGCTTCCACTGCTCTATGTGCAACTTCACAGCGGACATCAAGCAAAGTCTGACGGTGCACGAAATGAATCATCACACGCCGCCTGCGGGCCAATCGGGTGCGAGTCGCCGTCGCAATCGGGTGGGCGCCAGCGACACAGCTCTCGCCTTCTCCGCAGTGAACGCGCTCGTCCCCAAGGAGGAGGAAGGGAGCGGTGATTCGCGATCCTCACACTCGGCCTCGGTGAGTGTCGCCGAGTTTAACGCGATGCGAAGGGGCCGCGCCTGGTGACGTCACGCGGTAACCGCAGCCGAGCGCTGTTATCATGACAGCCCATTGCGCTCTCCGCTCCGCACCGTATTCTACCTCTCACGCATACTTGCATTATATTAGAGTCTATGCATGCTGTTCTCATCACAATACTTGAGAATTGCACGAAATGTACATTATCTCTACTCCCCTCAGAACTATTACACAATTGGATTTGAATAGTAATTAGCTTCACCTATTATCGCATAAAAATACCTGGGTATTTACCTAGAAAACAAAACAATAATAAACAATACAAGATGTTTCGTGGTGCTATGGTGCTAGCGTTCCTAACACACTCGGTATGTAGCTGGTGTTATTGTACGTTGATCCAGATGTTTATGTTAGTTCTCCGATAAGCTTTTTGGAAAGTACTATATCAATACTTATACGTGTCACTACTGGGCATGGATCTTCTCTAACGAGATTAGCGGCAAAACATAAATACAGGAATAAAATAAAGTTGATTAGAAATTTTTAAACAGTTTAAAATAAATTGAAAATTGACATATTTTTTATTAACGTCACGTATATTACGTACGTATTAAGTACGTCATGGTATATTAATTTCAATTATGTATGTGTTACCTATAAAAATTTAATTATGGATTAATTTTTGTGTGTTTTGATTTTATAGGACTGATAATGTTTAAACATTAAATTAATGGATAGCGTTTCGAAATATCAATAGTATTTTGTTACATTTCAGGATATGGGTCTACAGTACGCAGAGAGAGACATGGTTAGCTGCAACAGTGATTCTAACGACGCCACTGTTCCTGACGCCGGTGCCAAGAGAGACGACTCGAATTTGGCACCAGATGCACAGAACCGGCATTCACCCGGCATCGCGATCGATGAAGGAAAATTTCAAAAACAAAGCAGGAAAATTCCTCGGCCGCCGCCCCCTCTAATACCCATTAATCCGTCGACGCCAAACCAACATAAAACATCCAACGGCGAACCACCGCAGAAGAAATTCAAAGAAGCAACCGATTGTACAGACTTAAGTGTCAATAACAAATTTGAAAATTTACCTGCCGACATTACTTTGATACCAGTAAATAATATATCCCATCCAAAAGAAACAACAACAAATCGCAAGAAAAATGAGTCCTTTTTTGACAAACTGAAAGAAAGACTGCTAACAGAGACTGGAGAAGAGGGTTCATTAATATGTAAAAATTGCGGATTTGAAAGCAAATGTTTATCAGAACATTCTGTTCACGAGAAAAATTGCACTCCGCAATCAAATCGAATTGCGACCAACACCTCTGTCTCAAGTTTAAGCTCTACACGTTGCCAAAACTGTAGACACAGATGTAAATCTAGTGCAGATCTGTATGTTCATATGCAAACTTGTAAAAAGTATGAATCTGTGGCGAACAACTCTATGGAAGTGGGAACTCAGCAGAGCAATGAAAATCAGTCCATTAACAAAGAAAAAGAAACAGAACCTCATCCTATGGAAAATGTAGTTTTTGTCTGGAATAACATCAGTCAGGAATCAAACAAGTATGATATGCCACTTGACATAAGTATCAATGACGATTCCACTCTTCCCGAAATTCAGTCATGCTATGATCCTGAAATCATCGAGGAAAATGAGAACATGAATCTGTCACCAAGTCAGGCTGCCGGGAAAAAAGTGTTTAAATGTCCACATTGCCCATTTTGGGCCTCAACTGCATCAAGATTCCATGTGCATATAGTAGGACATTTAAATAAAAAACCGTTCGAATGTTCCTTATGCAAATACAAGTCAAACTGGCGCTGGGATATAACCAAACACATCAAACTAAAATCTGCTAGAGATCCAGAACATAACGAAGCTAAAGTCCTAATGACCGACGAAACTGGTAGGAGGAACTACAGCAAATACAACAAGTTTCTGGCAATGCCAGTCATGAATGAGATTGGCGAGAATGAATTTCATTATATTGACCCTAATACTGCGGCAGACTCATCCATGGAAATTGATGAAACGTATGATATTAGTGAAAGTGCAACTTCGTCATCTGAAATGCCACTCAATTTACAAACCCAACACAGCGAGTTTATATCTGAAAATTTTCACAACACACTCGAAGATTCTAAGAAGCCTAAGAAAACATTGTGGAAATGCAAGAAATGTAATTATAAGTAAGTATTAAATCTTTATTATTAAGTATCGAATCTTTTGACATCCATTGTGCTGTTGTTTAAACTAATGTATCATTTAAAAAATGTTTCCTACTTTTCAGGGATTCGTCAAAAGAAGCACTGTTAGAGCATGTTCGGGAGCATTCTAGAGCCGACGATGATTCTAAGCCTAAGAAGTCGGAAACTACTCCAGATCCTGCTGATTTGGCGTACCGATGCGGACATTGCAACCAACTTTCCAACTGGAAACACGTAATACAAGTATGTATAACTAATTATTACTATATTAATAATATACTTTATAACTTCAATAAGTGGGTTTTAAAAAGTTGTTAATAACAGATACTCATATTTATTTCCAGAGACATTGTCGATTGAAGCACGACGGAGTGATAAAAGTGATAACGACAGTGAAACCAAAAGTAGACACAACAAATGTCAGTGACAACAACAGTGACTACTGTACCAAATGTCCTTTCAAGTGCAGCGACAAACGACTGCTTAGTGCGCACATGCAGCAGCATCAACCTTCGCCTAACTCTGTATTTAAATGCTATTTTTGTCCATACTTCGTCAAAGACGAACAAGAATTAATAAATCATCTCGTACTACATGGTGTTACTGAGCCCGAAGAATACATATCTAACGCCATGGGGAACAAATTTACCATACCTCTGTCAGAACAAACCGAGTCAACATCGACTCCCAACGCCTCAACTAAAAGGCACAAATGCACAGAATGCCCATATGAAACTAACAGCAAGTCTCAATTCATGTACCACGAACAATTTCATAGGCTTCCAGCGGACACTCCTTATAAATGTCCAGAATGTAACTACAGCGTTTCAAAAAGACATCTTCTTCATCAGCATCTGAGAGTACATGGAATATTCACTAAGAAAGGTGAATTAGAAGCTGAGCTAGAAGCAGCCGCTTCCAATTCCAAAGAAGAAATTAAAACAGAATACCCTGTACTCGATGAAATTCCATTTGTATGGGTATCAGCCAAGAATGAATTTCATAAAATGTACAAGTGTCGATACTGTTCATATGTTAACTCTCAAAAATGCAAAATACCTAACCACGAAAAAATTCATTGCATTGTATTTGAAAATACTGAAATAACTGTATACAAATGCTTAGAATGCAAATACACTTGTGATAATGCAGGAAGACTTGCAGAACATTCCAAAACTCACGAAGAGATCTATGGACGCATTTACTGTCCAGTTGAGGAGGATGTCCCTGATGAGGAACAGATAGCAAAATTACGAAAAGTTATTGAAACCGAAAAATTAAACGCCACCGAAGAGTTTAGAGAAGATGGATTACAGGAGACTAAAGAGTTGAAAATTATACATTTCTGTCACAAGTGCCCGGCAAGATTTTTCACGGACAGTGAATTAAAAATTCACGACAAATTCCACGACTTAACGTTTGAGAATAAATGTAAAAGATGTGAATTTTCAGTTCCCCAAGAAAGCGAATTACCCGCACACATTTTTGTTCATTCGGACGAGTATAATACCAAAACAAAAATGCTGAAATTTATGCACGTAATTCATCCCGCTCACAAAGAACCGCTATTGGAACTAGTTCACTGTCCAACCACCTCCGAAATCACATGGGTAGTAGCAAAACCTAGCAAAAACTTCGAAGATTTTGGACATAAAAAATCAACAGACACGAAGCATGTCCCAAAACAATATAGCTGCAAGGAGTGTCCAGCCAAATTCTTTAAAAGTTCAGCGCTAAGTTACCACATGGGACTACATGGAGGCGATGGCGACCACAAATGCAAGAAATGCAGCTATGCTGTAAAGAATATAGGCAATTTGGCAAAACACGAGTTACTACACGACAACGAAGGCAAAGGTTCGAACTGCGATTATGATTCCGGAGACGACATGGATTTCAAAAATATACCGTTGTCAGGAACAGATCTATTTCAAAGAAAAACTGAAGCACAGAAACGTGTATTAACGGACAAAGATAAATTAGTAAAGCCCAATGATCATTTCCCACCAGTCCTTCAAGCCGATCCGCAGTTTGGTTATTTGATGCATGGAAACCCAGAGTTCATATACCCTACTTACCTAAAAAACGGCCGCCAGAAAGAAAAGAGATACAAATGCCACAAGTGTCCATCGGCATTTGAAAAGAGAGAACAGTACAAAATTCATTTATCTCTACATGGTTCAAAGCAAAGGTACAAATGTGAATTATGCGATTACTCAGTTAAATACTACGCTAATTATGTTCAGCATATGCGTAAACATCAAATGAACGACGAAGCTCAAGCCGAGAGGAAAAAAGGTAGCAATGATTATGGCGATAATGAAAGTCAGGACGATAAGATAGAAGATTGTACAGACAATATTAAGTTAGCCATTAAGACTATGCCAAAAGGAGCACCGCGTAGCGATTTTCAACAATTTTCAGTCAGTGATCAACAGACTCTCAGACTTCTCCAACGTCGCCGTTCAATCAATTCAGCAAAAGAAACGAGTCCATCTGAATCACCTACGAAAGATAGAAAGTTACACATGTGTTTGTTGTGCCCATACACGAATCAAAGACAAGACGCTCTTCACAACCACTACAGACGACACGATGAATCTGATGCATTGAATACGACTAATCATAAATGCACATACTGTGATCTATCAGTAGTTCAATCGCACTTCTTGCGTGATCACCTCAAAACACATTTCAGTTATCATAAGAACCAGAATCCTGAATGTTTTGTAGCGAATCAAGATGTGAGCTTCACCATTACAAAAGTAGATGAAGAAGACACAGCCACAGATCTCAAATTGGATTTGAAAAGAAAATACTTTTCATGCAATGATGAAAAATTATATGTGAAAATAAAAACGGGAGAACTAATGGTGGAGTAAATTTTAGAAAACTTGTATATTCATTATGATGTTACATTATACGGTCTGATTAGGCAGATTAGTTAAATTATAATTTATAAGCCAAATAAATAAAACTGTTGATATTCACCAAAGTGTAGCTTGCCATATTAGACTAACAATTCTGGCCATTTTGGTTTAATATATTTTGTGAATCTGTGTAATCTATACAGTTATTTTTGAACAAATATAGGGGAATAATTCATCTGTACTCCCAACTTAGTTTTTTACACTACATCTACATTCAATACATGCCTATTTGAACTAGTCGAAATTTCAAAATCAGTAAATAGCAATTTAAACATGTTACCACTACACCACACTGGATAGAAATTGTATGTACCTACTTACTACTAGATAATATTTTTTATTTTATGTGTAGATTTTAACATGGCATTTTAAATAAGCTGTGTTTCTTAATAAAATGGTAGTTCAGTTTGTGAAACATTCATTATCATTTATTTTGTCAAGCAGACAATAAAGTTGTATACTGTAAAAAATTATAGATAAACATAGACAACCGTAAATTAATTCATTGTTCAAATGAGCGTGTTTTATAAGCATTTGTTCCACATTGTTCTTTAGGACACATTCATGTTTTAAAAAAATAATATTACACTTAATTTAGATTAATTATGTATAGACTAGTAAGTAGATCAACAAAACTAAGAGTTTTATTAAATAAAACATAGAAATTCACTTAAAGCACATTAATTTATTTATAACTAAAGATCCCTTATCTACTCAACATGATTCCATTGTCAGTGACAGCAGAAAGGTCAATGCAAGAAACACAATTAATCCATTACGTGAATGTAAATATTAAGAAGTACAATTACTTGATACATCAAGCGTATCATTAAAATACACTATTTTTCTAGGATTACTTTGAAGCAGTCTTAACAGAATTTCCAGCGATTACCACACTCATTGCATAACACAAATGTGGTCATAGGTTCATCAGACGACCTGGTCTGGAGTTGATTGTAGGTGCAGTTCTTCTTCTTACATTTGCCACACTTGAGCATGTCTGTTTTTGTACCCTGCACTGTAGCCAGCTGAGCATCATCAATAGCCTCCTTTATGAATTTCTCTCTCAACTTCTTCATTTCATCACTTGCCATTTCCTCGGGGGTCATCTTTGCCAAACGGGATGCAGTAATGACACCATTTAAGTAATTTGTTCGCAGAGTGGGATTTTTAGGATCCTTTAGATTAGCCACCCGGGATCGAACTCTATTCTTGTATCTCATATCAGTGTTTTTAAATTCAGCATAAATGCATTCCTCCAATTCCTCAGCAAGGTCCTCAGGAGCTCCACAAGCATTGGGGTTCTCTCCATCAGTTTTCAGAGCCTGAGTAAGAAGTTCTCGGCACTTGAGCCTCACAGCATCAGTAGTGTTGGATTGAGGTGGAAATGAAGCTTGCAGCTTCTTATCTTTTTCCCTATCATCTTTCTTGTCCTTGTCTTTCCCTGAATCCTTTTTAGATTTAGAAGAGCTTCCAGACTCCTTTGATGGTGTGGTAGGAGTGGACAAGAACTTTTTCCAATTTTTTATCAACGTTTTACACAAAGTTATAACCTCGTCGTCCTTGCTAGATTTACGTAAAGCATTGACAGTCATACCTATCCTCGTTTTAGTCAGGACGTCCAAGTTGATTGCCATCGTTTGCAGATTCTTCAACAACTCCAATGCTTCCTCTTGCCCCTAAAATATACAGAAAAATTGAATTAAAATTGTTGTTGACTTGTTGTTGATATTGATCAACAAACAAAATAATTAAATGTACGAAAAATCCTTTAGCACCCCGACTCGCACTGACGCCGATGCATTGCCTACAAAGTAAATGAATATATAATACTGAAGGAGAGAAATAGTCAGTAGTCTTTACGAAGGTAAAGTACAATGAAAACATTCTAGTCTCAGAAGATAAAGAGCATCAATATCAATAGTACTTTTCGTTTATTCTAAACGTACCGTGCCATCATCAGACGTCATCTTAGTCAGTTTCTTTTGTATTTTCATCACATCCTCTTCGACGCTCATTTTCGTTGGAGTTCACAGAATAATATCACTTCCCGCCTATTAAACTCGCAACAATATTTTGGAAAAATTGATAAATCGACCACCACACGGAGCAAACGCCACTAAAGAGCATAGACAAACGTCATTTTCAGTGATGTCAACGTACATTTCTAGTATCCCCGTTATTAATGTTTTTTTTGTTACTGCTACAAACCAATTTAAATTAAATCTAAGAAATTATGCGTAATACAAATGTGGCTATTAAATTAATCATATTCGCAAAAGTTTCACCTAATATCCGATTAGACTGAGCCATTTTTAAAATAATATAGAAACAGTAACGCTCAGCCAATTTAAAAGCTGACCTTTTGTGTTTGTAGACTCTTTTTAAAAGGAAATATTCGAATCTAACAAATAAATTCTACAAGACAAATAAAAACTAAAATAAAATAGTTACCAAGCCAAAGAAATTTTTTTTAAATTTACTTCTGGCCATGGAAACAAAGTCCTTCAGCCGAAAACATAAAAATAAGTTTTCTGTAAATATGGCCGACACAAAGAGGATAGGCAATTTAAGGCGGCGTACTTGGATTGACTCGGGATTCCTTAGAACGGGCCGATACGGGTATTTTAGTTCGAGATTCGTATAATTTCGCGTTTTAATCTTCGATTAAGGCACAATATCCTATTCTACTTTAAACTAGATTTCACAAAATAATTGAAAGTCAAAATAAAAACGACACTTTTCCCTCCAAAAGGTCCAGAGCGAATCCCCAAAGAAAATTGGTTACAATGTGTTGCCATGAGTATAAAAAATAAAATATTAATTTATTTTGGAAAAAATGTATTACACCGGAGCAAAGTTGCCATTACCAAAAATTTTATGTAACAAATACAATTTTTCATTAATGAAGAAATCACGTACGTATAATATGTAATGTGTTATGCGAACAGAATTCACATGCAAGTTTCGTGGAAATTGCTAAATGTTATTTAGCAAACTGAGGATAATTATTGTCATCAAAAGACAATGAAGTTATAATTTTAAGCTACTTTTAACCAATCCTTGTGTTGTTTTAAGGACCAGTATTTGATGAGAAAATTTCAGCAGAGGACACAAAGCATAAATTTTTATTTATAATTTATGAATATTCTGGAAAATATAAACACTAAAAAAATTAAAAATTCTATATTAGAATTCACGATTTAAGTGTGAGGCCAGACGAGCGTAATTTTGTGAGTTGCGTAGTTTGAGCTGCATTCGGTTTCATATACAAGTACGGATTGTCTCACACGAGAGTCCTGTTTGTCTCACCGATAACTGACTTTCGGTCGGTTTCATCGTGTGATGGGCTAACGTGAGTGGAGGTAGGGGTGAGGGAAGGGGTCACTTTGGTATAAACGCTTAAAAAGCAAATGAATAAAATACGTTCCTCTGGTGCTCCAACCGAAATTTGGTCAAAAGAACAACTCAAAAAACGCAACTCATAAAATTACGCTCATCTGGTCTTTAGAGCATATAGGACGGGAGGCGCTATTAGCGTTATTTCTCGAACAAAACTTTCTGCCACTGGGATAGTACTACAAGTAAACAAGTGCACTCAAACGCAAAATTGAATAGTGTCACTATGGTCTCACACAAACAAAAGTCTACAACACTAGCTTATTTTTACAAATACACAGATAAAACACACGTTCATGTCATGTCACAGAATAGCCCTATAAAAATAAATCGATTCTCATGAATATACTAGAGACGGAAAGTTATCTACGTGACGGTGTCGATATGTATTACGTACTGGTTAATCAGGTATACGAAAAATGTAATTCCACCCTTGGTAGACAGGTTGTAGTGAATTTCTTTTTCCAATTTTGTGTGTAATGTAACAGTGGTATTGTTTTACTTGTATTTGCCAGAGGAGATTGCCCATTGACTTACCAATAAATGGATGTAAATCTAGAAAAAAATACAATCCAACGTCTAATCCAAAAACCGCGAAATGTCCGGAGTTTTTTTCAGTTTATTTCTTTTCGCGGTCAGTGTTGGAGCCAATGACAAGCATGGTCGGAGTTAACCTCTTCAAACGTAGTGACATGTGTAGAAATATTTAAAAAACTAAAATATTTAATTTAAACTGTAAAGTCATTGCAGTATTGCTTAATTTTGTTTCCCATAATTTAAAGGCTCAAAAATTATCCATATCCAGCTTCTACTGGAAATAACAAAATGCACCGTATTAACTTCTAGTGAAAACTACTTGAACACAAGCGTGATGGTGTAGTCTTAGTGTCAATATTAATTAATTTTATGGTATTATGTTATACGAATTTACTTCAAGTAATAAGAGTTGTGCAGATATATAGGTACATACAAATATTATAATTGCGAAAATGGCTGTGTCTCTCTATTGGTAGTTATGACGTGCTCTAAGAAATGTATCGATGATTCGTATTCCTAGATTCCAACTAGAAGTAAACTCAAAGTTTCATAATTTCGAAAAAGGATTTATAACAAAACCGTTAAGCTTTCAAGGAATTTTGGTTGGTAATAACCATAAGGCTTATATGGCTTTATGGCCATATGTCTTTGTAATAACCATTACAAAGAAAAGATTAAGTTAGTTTGTTTTGTAATATTACTAAAATAACATAAAAAAGTGCAATTGGGATTACAAAAATTCGAACAAACATTACTTCGGGCAAATGTATTTTCGGACTTCTGATTGATTACTCCAAACAGTAAAACGAATACAACAATATTTTGTTAGTTATTTATTATTAACGTTTAATAAAAAGTCATTTTAAAAATAAGATTAACATTAAATCAACTCTATAGTTTCTTTGTTCTAAATCTTAATATTTCAATCGTTTGTGGTTTGAAAATTGAAATTGACGTAACGAGTTTCTTTCTGTCTTTTGCGCACGTCTTGTGTAGGAATAAGGACAGTTAGCTATTTGGTTATTTTTATTGCTTTTGTAATTTATGTGTATTGTATGATGTACTCGTATATGTACTTTTTAGTTTTATTTTTTTCATGATTTTTTTGGCATGATTTATATTAAACAATTACTATTTGTTGTTATTATTTATAATTTATTACATTATTATTTAATATACAATACGACGGTGAAATCAACTTGAATAAACTTTGTTACATAATCTGTCGCTAAAAATAGGAGCCAAAGAGCGCGTCGCTTCTCTATAACGAAAAAAACAGCGTCTATGAAGTACTGCATTTTTTTCTATAGCTGCCCGTTAGTAAATAGGGAACTTCATAGGCACGCTTATGTCAAATGTTCAAATGTTTTCAAATATTTTTTATGTAATCGATAATTTTTTTTAAATTTATTGCTGGCCATGGAAACAAAGTCCTTCAGCCGTGTAATCGATAAATTCAATCAATGTGATCATTGTGAAAAAAACGTCATAAAATAGAAAATTAGGAATTAGTATAAAAAATAGGCTTATGTATGGAATGTAATTCCAACCGTGGCTAGACTGGATCCAGCAGAGATTTTTTTGCAAAGTTTGTATAGCGCAATACGAAATGTTTCGTGAAGTACTTGACGCGGTGAATTCGATAATGGAAATGTAAAAACATCGATTTGAAAATAGTGTTTATTGTGCGATAGTTGTTTTGTGCTTGTACCTTGACAGAGGTATTGCCGGTCGATGACGCCTCCAATCCTATATGCTCTAAGGTCTGGCCTCACCCTAAATCGCTCCCAATTACAACGCAAACCTATGGTTCCCCGCAAAGCAGGGTGCGCCTTCAAGATTGGCAGCATTTATATTCATAGACAAAAAGTAGTATTTGGCAAGATACTAGCGCCATCTATACAAAGATTAAATCAAGTCTTAAAATTAAACCAAATGAAAAAAAATCAGTGAAAGATTTTAAGTTCCACGCTAGATGGTGTCGAATAACAGAAAACGAGAGGGTTGATGTAGTTTCCAAAATAATCTATGATGCAGAGCATAGATTTGTGTTCGAAAAATGAAACCCCACCATTTTCACATACATACTTAACAAGCCAGTCTACCTAGTACAGCGTTTCCCACGGAAGTCACTGCAGATATCGACACGGAGTCGCATTAATGATATAATCAGAAAAAGCTTCATGTCTATGTAATAAGAACAACGTGCGTTTCGCGTCGGCACACCATCCGAGCGGAAATGAAACGTGAATAAGCCATATATACCATTACTATGAAGTGACAGTTGTTGCTAACGACTAAATAAAATACATGTAAAATTGTCATTGACTTACAAATAAATGTAAGTCAATGAAAATTGTAAAATAATATAAAAGTTACTTCTTCTTTTGACCGCTTGGTGCGCTGTACTACTGACCATACCAAACTTCAAAATATTTGTCGCTGCAAAATTGTAGAGGCAGTGGCGCCGATAGCTATGTCTGTGGGTACCCGCAGACTCATTACAATAAACGAATACGATTATCACTTTTATAACCGTTTATTATTAAAGGGTTCTCAACGTTTTTGATCGAGAACATTCATGCAATCACGCTGTGAACATATCCTTACATACTTATTGCATCCCTAAACGATCGACCATCGTATTACTACAATAACCTACTCATACTTACTTCGGCGATCGATGTTCGTATCTACATTATTATACATATGAAGGACATCAAGGGCATAACAGTGACATGCCCAAAAACTACTCTAATTAAATAAGAACTACTCTGTCTGTCTACGTTCATGCATTCACGCGGTGAATACATCCTTACTTATTGAAACTTTATACAATTGGAAAGCATTTCACAAGTAACGAATTTTAAAGAAGTAGGTTAAATGTCAAAACAGAATTGATATTCGTGGAAAAATAGTTATAGGCACTCAGAAATCAGGAGTTAGAAACGACAAACGATCCACATAGTTTTGCTAAAAATGAAGAACGTCCCTTCACCACTGAGATTAATTTTGATTAGTTAAGTTATGGAAAAAAAGAATTTCCAATTTATTTTCAGCGTATTCTATAAGGCAATTAAAATAAAAAGATTGAGTCATATGTGGATAATGGAAATTCCGACATCAGAATTTTATAAATTGTTTTTCTTGTGCTAGTTAGATTCTGACAATT